ATAAGATTATTCCCAAGAAGACTGAAATTTCATCATACCTTACATTTATACTATGCATTCCCTTTTGTCCGGCATAAAGATTAGTTTGTGTAACGATATGTTCAATTAGAGTATCAGTAAAAAAGCATTTGAAAGCTTGAAGTGGAGAATTTACTGTTTTGCAAAAATTCTATAGTCGATGTTCCAGAGGGTATAGTATATATATATATATATATATCCGGTTTTTTAGGCGTTACGCCTGTCCGGTAGGGATCTATGGAGGAGTATCACCGAGCCGCAAGCCCTTATCTCTTGCCGTACTGCTCCACCATAGGCCGATCAGATCCCAGCATATCCTAGTCTAAGCCGCAGATTCATCTAGAATTTTAAACTGCTGCGTTAGACTTTTTGTTTTCTGTACACCGAGCTTGGGCTCGATCCCACATCCACTAAACCATTCGACAGTGAAGCGAATGAGAGGCAGCCGCACAGCCCGCTGAGCTATCTGACCGACAGCTATCGTAGGGTATAGTAACGGCAAGTAAATTCCAACTGTTTTCTTTATTTTGAGACCAAACACTGTTTGAAGATGCAATTACTTTTCGCTTTTTATTTTCAATAGGTTCTGAAGCACCTGGCTATGGCAAATCAATATTTTTGTTATGTTGAATTATTCTCAACAATTTCCTCATCCAACTCAACAATCGCTTCCAATCTGAGGATTCTACCTGGTAAATGATTTGGATTTCCTTCATTTTCGTCATCTGATAAATCTGAATCTTCGTCAGTATCAGCTTCAGCAGATTCTATAGGAGGAACTATTCCTACAGACCTGATTCTTCTAAAAATACTTGATCCGTAATTTTCTTCACAAGCTTTTATAATTTCATCTACGCTAAACGTATTATCTTCAGACCTAAAAAAATAAAATAAATCATTCTAGTGCTCAGTGGCAACTAAAGTTGCCACGTGAATTTGGGGTACCATAATTATGTTATAATTCAATGAACAATTAATTTTCTTAGATCAGTATATAAAATAAACCTTTGGTTTAAAATGAATTGAGTATGAACACAAAATATTATAAATTAACTAAAAAATACTTACATTGTTTAGGACTAAGTTTGGTTGCTGCAAAACTCAATATTGAAATAAATACTAACGAGCACCTAACAAGTTTACAAGCAAATTTGTAGGTTATAAATACATGTGGACACGCTAAAAATTATATACTACTTAAAAATAGGCCACACACAATATACAAGAGATTTTACGTTTGTTGAAAGTCACTGGCAACTAAAGTTGCCACTGAGCGCTAATGGGTTAATGGGGATGGCGTAGGAATAAGAAGAATGATGTTCGCCTGTTGACGTCGCTGTTTTAATATCTCTATCTCGTCACACTATGTTTTTATTCAATTTTTTTGGCCTTTCTTATTTCGGTTCTTATTTTTTCTCTGAATAGTATTGTACATTCTTTTATTGTTCCTTGATTTTCTTCTTTTTAAATACCTTAGCATATCTTATGACATTTAAGATGTCTTATGTATGTAAGTTCAAATACAGTCCCAAGAAATAAAATGCGTGGTAATATTTAGTTTGTGGCAAAGAGTTGCCAGCAAATCTAAAATTATACAAAATAAATATTGTACAAGTTGACTGTAGTTATTCTTTAGTGTATGGAAAATTTTGACAGGCACGAATTTAACATTGATTGAGAATTTTCTGAAGCTGCACATTTTGCTGAACCAAAAGGAAATGTGATGCAGCTGGAACTACCTCACGCATACATAGGTTCTCAGACGCCTCAATGTGTAAATGGTCCATTGAATAAGCTATAGTGGCATTTGGTTGTCACAAATTTAACGATAAGAGGGGATGACTTAGAACAATTCTCTTATAGTTTCAACTTATTCCCGTATGATTGCTATGTATTCGTATATTGAAACAGTTATAGTCTAAGATAAGACTGCAGGATCACTACTTTTATAACCTAGTTAATCAAACTTACATATATGTTTACCTCTATTTAAAATTAGGAGAATACATTGATAATAGGTTGCCAATCAAAAAGTGACCGCAAATATTTTTAATTCAATTTATTCGCTCCGTGCGTGACCATGGTAGGGGTACATTGAAACGATGCCAGCGTGCGTAGCGGCGAAATATGACAAAATTGGAATATTGGACAAAATATTTTTACGCATAAGTTTTATCAAAAATGTGTGCAAATACATGTTGCGTATTTAATTCTGCTAATAATAGCAAAAACAGTGAGTGTAGTTTTTATAGGTTCCCAAAGATTACATATAAATTAGAGAAAAGAAAAAGATGAATTCGTGCTATTAACATGAAAAAGTAAATATCACATAATTTCATTTTTATGCAATTGAAGTAGGAACAATTTAAACAATTTACCTTGCATAATATTTCATAAGGCTTCAAGCTAACTGCAGATGACTTTAGCTTTTATATCATAACTTTTACTATTATTGTTTTTAATTATATGCTCTTTTGCGTGAAAAACTTGATTTGCCAGTACTAGATTTTTCAGTTTCTTTTCCGTTTGGAGTTGAAAAGAGATATTATGATGAATTTTGAGAAACTCAGTTTTTAATATTACATTTATTTTGTACATAAACTGAAAAAATATAGTTAAAAAACTAATTTATTAATAATTGCTAGTTTCGCATGTATTTAACAATGTCAAACATATGTCATATATTTAACCTGAAAATTGGGACTAGAAAATTGTCAGATGAAGGCGGTAGGTGTCGCATCAGTCACGCACGGAGCGAATAGTAATCAATTTTTTAACAAAAATTTTATTTCGTTAAATTATTTTTTAAATAAAATACGTTGCTTATGACGTGGAATATGCACGATTTCAACATAAAATTAAAGTAATTTTTTTTATTAATATGATGATAAGGTTATCAAAAAAATGGTCGTAAACTAGAGTTGCTAGCTATTAAAAACGCGAGGGATCAAAAATAAAGTAAAAAGGATCTAGCGCGCAATGCTACTGGATTGAAGTATCGGTTGTGTAAGATTTGAAAGCATGCGTCGATATATATATATATATATATATATATATATATATATATATATATATATATATATATATATATCTATATGATTGTACATATTAACACTTGTCAAACTAGTGTCATTGTGTGCAAACTCCAATTTACGTTATCTTTAATACCTTGCGATTTTACCGACAAAGCCTGACAATCCTGATTTGCGATCTTTTTAACTACGTTACAAATAATAATAGATATAAAAGAAATTAGCATAGTAATATTATGATTTTTAATTGATAAACTTAAATAGTGATTAAAGAAATAATTTATAAGTTATAGACTAGATAATAAGTGTAAAAAGTTTTATTTTAATAATTATATTATAGATATATTTCAGTGAGCCATGTGCATAGGCAACCAAATATACACTGAATAATTGACACTGTATTATAATGACAGAAGAATGAATTTGAACTAAATAAGAGACATTTGAATAATAATTACGGATGTAAAATAGTGTTATGTATTAATCTAAGATGTTTAGTTTATGTTCTGATCTGAAAGCCTAAATGTCCATAAAATTCTCGATAGAAGGGTAAAGAATTTTCTACAAAAGGTCAATATAAGGCAGTTAATCCTATTTGCATAGTAGAAGATTCGAGAATGTTCATATACTTATTGATGAAATTCGAACAAATTCGAACATGGTTTATTGCTAGAATATTCGGGAACGATGAAAAGATATAAATACGATGTAATTTTTAGCAAGGGGACATTAACACAGTGATTCATTTAATCATTCATTAGACAGTTAGTATTACAGTATGAGAGTTGGGATTATACAGTAAGACAGTGCATTGATTAGATAGTTCAAGATAGTTAACAGTTACAGTAAGACAATATGGAGTTAGTTAATTAAGAAGTTAAACAGGAGACAGTTCGACAGTTAGTTAATGAATTTATTAAGAAGTTAGTTGATCAGTAAATAGTACAAGCAGATAGTATACAGTGTTTTATAGTATTTGAAAGTATATTTAAAAGTATATTAAAATTATAATATCTATATGGTGATTGGAGATAATTAAATAGAAAAAATAAGATAATAAGTAAGAAGCAAAAAAGAAACAATAAAGAAGAATATTTTACTCATTTATGAATACTATTACGAAGAAAAATATTTTAAATAGTTGGAAGCTGATAGATTAAAACATTGTCGTATATTTGGAAGAAGCAACTTCACAAAAACAAGGATAACCAAGGCTGATAAGAAGTTATTGAGCGGTAATTATACCTTTTATTTTGGAAAACAGTTTCATTTAGGCATTCAGTGATAGAAAGGTACCAAATTTTGTTAATATAATTTAATTATTGTAGGAATTTCAAATTTAAGATATGTTGTTCTAAATTTATATTGTCTATATTAGATATAGATATATGTATATATATATATATATATATATATATATATATATATATATACGTGTTTCATAATAGTTATAATAAAGATAATTTACAAACTAATTCTTTGAGAACCGCGATAAAAACCCTATACTTATATATATATATATATATATATATATATAATATTATATATATATTATATATATATATATATATATATATATATATATATATATATATATATATATATACGGCTATTACAGATGATGCCCACCCCGGTATATTATACAGATTAGAGGTGGCCCGACATCGCAACGTAAGAAGGGAGGTATTTTTCACATATACTAAAATAATATGACATACATATTAAAGGAATCCTCAAATATATGACGGATTTTTCGAATCCCGTCTATATACTAATCATTATGCCCTTATGCGTGTCCGCAGCCCGGCGATGTTGCCAATTATTAAATCGGGTTATTGTATTGTTATTTGCTTGGTAAGACATTTTTTGTTAAGCACATTGATCTTTACTTTCGAAAACTTTTAAATAAATGTGTAGTGTGTAGTTTCAAGTTAGACAACAAGTGTAAAAATGAAACGGTCTCGTTTCTTACTAGAATTGGCGGCTCAAGATCAGACGGGTAAGTAATCTTATTTACATTTTATGTATAGAAATTTAAGCTCCAAAACGTCCAAATTAAATAATAAAAGTCCGAGTACCTTATTATTCAGATTGTCCGTATTTAACGTTTTTGCATGGGATCTTTGGTATGATTTAAACTTTTATTACAGGGCGTCGTCGAAAAGTAACTAAAATTAAGGTGTAGATTTTTAATATTACATTTTAAAATATTTCAATTTGGACATTGAAGAGATTATCTTACAATTAATTAAGAATTAGTTAGTTATTCTCACCTCTACGTATCCAAAATTTGTTTTCAATTACTTCTAATTTAAAAAAGTTGGTGTCAACCGTTACAATTTGTATTATTATATATTTATATTATTTTGTTCTTATATTGTTTACACATGCCTACAAGTGCCTCTAATTATTAACTCTCTTTCCAGACTCAATATTTGGCATTTTTCTGAATATAAGTGTTCCAATCAATTTCATATATTTTCCTATTTTGTTTTTTATCGGTGGCAGTGCTAAATTCGCACATGTCTCTTCGTTCCTGTTCTTTCCATTCTAGTGTTACGAATACCCACCATAACATCTTTATTTCTGCAAAAATAAATATTCTTTTGCATATGATTCATTTCCATATATCCTCTGTGTATTTGCATATGATTCATTTCCATATATCCTCTGTGGTTTTACTTATTACAGTTTTTTATTTATTTTACAGAAAGTCTGCCGTCAGTTAGTACTTTGTCAGCGTTTCTCTACTTCACTCACGTCACTCTAATTTTCGTTGATACACCGCACTTATTTTCCTCTGAAATACCGATCACAGGCAGCTAAACTTTTCCCTTTTCTCTAATTTCTTATTTTGTAGCTTTTCCCGAATTACCTGACTGTATACTATATGTATTCTATGTACATTCTATTTAACGTAAGTCCTTTTCTTCTATGGCCCTTCATTATTTTTCCAATATGTCATCTATCTTCTTCCCTTTTTGATATTTAAAAAACACCAACATCTGTTACGTCATTAATATCATTTTTGTAACAACTAATAATATCTCTTAATATTTCCACCGTTAACAAACAACCTTCTTTTATATTAAAGGATATGTGAGTGAAGGAATTGAAGTAATCAGAAATGATTCAGTATGGAAAAATAATGATGAAGACTCAATAGTATTAGCTTCAGAAAGTGAACAACTTTACGAAGACTCCGGTTCAGAATATATTCCACCAGAATCAGAGGATTACAAATTTCCAAAAAGGCCTAATATACTTAAAGTATTATGTTAATAAATTCTTGTATTTAAATACTCACATAAGATTTGTTTTAGTATAATGTTGAACGGAGTGTATCGCCAGGAATGAGACCAAATCAATCGAAAATTAATGTGATTGAAAACGTTTTATTAACTACTATAGTAAGAGTAAAATTTAAAAAGTTGTATGTACATTGTCTCTCAAGTGTAAATGCTTTTAGGATAACAAGTGCCTACCATCAGAAACAAAAGTTGTAAATTACTTGAAAAGTATGAGAGGATCAGAAGTTACAGAAAATAAAGAAAACTTTGAGATGCCATTTTATGAGGACGTAAGTTCTTTTTTGCTCAAACTAAATTTTCTACAATATTTAGCCTACTAAAGCATATGTTACATTAGTGTTTATCGCTCATTTCATCATACAGTTTTGAAACTTTCATTTTGTTCTGTTCTGTGTACCACAAATATTTCTCGTTTTTGCGTCAACAATCCTACCTTTGTTCTTTGGTTTATTTGTTTGACCTTAAGTTACTAGCTGATCTTACCGTCTTTTTAATATTATTTTGTCTCACTTTTTACTATTTACTATATTATTCAAGCAAAATAAAATTACTCGAATCAGTGAAAATTAATTCGTTTTGATGTTACAACAAAATCTCGATATGTTTTTCTAGAAGAATAATTTTTGCTGACGGTAGAAGTTGGTGTTGCTAAAACGTACTAGTTTTATAATTATTAATTAAAGAGGTAAAATAATAATAACGGTTGTAGAAAAGGAATTTTTTATATTTTTATAGTCATGTGTTTTATCAAATATCTTGCCTATTACTTTTGATTGTTTTCTATCATCAATGCAGTACTTTAGAAGTGGAAACTACCCACAGTAGAAGAAACAAATGGCTTCATTATAATCGTTATTTTACACCCTACTTAATTACGAATGGAACAATTCAGAGCTTTAAAAAGCATTTTAAGTCTTATCTCCTTGCGGATAGACACTTTCAGTAGAATTAGAATACTTTTAGTAGAATTAGGACACAAGATATGTAGGTAAGACAGCGCCATAGTTCTAAAGGTTTATTTCTTATTTAAACAATTGAAAATGCAATGTATGATATGTATGTTAGCGACTCCTTTAGGGTTAAGTGGAAGAGCAAGCCATTGATTCCTATGCATCAAATAGTTTGAACTTCCCCTTTTGTTTCTATTAATTTTCTGTTATATATATTTCGTAATTTTGTAATATTTGTTTTTTTTTTTGGAAATAATAAACACATTTATTTTTAGTATTAAATTTTATAAAAATATTACATACGAGAAAAATTATGCTAACAAACAAGCACGTTAAAAAATTATAGACATATGTTAAACAGAAATACCTAAGAAGTGTATTTCAGATTGTCATTTGTCTATCAATGTTTATCATTTGTCTTTATTGGCATTTTTTCTGTGTTTGTAATATTTTATAAAAAATTTAAACTTTTCGCAATGTATTTTTGACTATGTGACTCAAAAGTAGGATGTCTGATAAACGATATGATGAAATCATTTGTTTCTTCTTCCACTTCTAGATAACTGCCCTGATGATGATTGGAAACAATCGAATGTACTAGGCAAGATAATTCATACAAACATATGAACCTATAAGTTCAAAAAATTTGTTTTTTTTCTGATAATAATAATTTTGATTACGAACTTTCTTATCGCACGCTACTACTTTAAGTGATTATATTTTCTCCCCTAAAAATATTTCGTGATATGTCACCTCATCAACTAATTAAACAACTTATTCAGACTTGCGTTAGAGATATACATAATATGTATTTCCTCATTTTTTATAACTATTATACCGTTTTTAGATAATTCTGGCTATGTTTCTACATACAACCTTAGTTATGTTATACAAAAAATCCATAAATTTCTCCTTGCAATTTGCACATATTTTTTCAACTCCCTGGTAATAAAAAATAAGAAATTAAAATAAGATGAGATTGCAAATATTTTAATATCTATTGTATAAGTGTAAACATTTTCCTAGTTACTTCAATATTAAACAATTTTAGGATGACCTTACTCCGCCAAAATCAAAAAATTTATGCCTATTGCAAAATGCAGATTTATCTGAAAATCCAAGTGGACAAATGATTCTAGAAAAACTTGTTTCAAAGGATCCTTATAATCCAGAAGAAATTGTTGACAAAGCCGGACCTTCTTTTTTGAACCATTCAACAGATAAAACAATTAAAAGTAAATGTTATGAACCAGAACATATTAATATCCAGAATCAAGCAAACAATGCACTGCCAGGGACTTCATTTAATATAACCGTAATTTATTTTTATTACATACTTAATTTTCGACCAATAAATTAATTATAAAATATTTAAAATTCAGTCCAAAAATTATTTTGCTGACCACAGTTATTCCAAAAAGAAATTTTTTTATCATTTATGTAATCCTAATAAAGTGTGCCAAATCTCTTGTTACCTCTATGTATTCATGTCATTTATTATCTACTATCAGTGCCGTAGTCCAGAACTATTTGTTTATTTCTATCACTGTCTCAGTTATTTGGCAATAAACTGCATCACCCTGCAATGCCTCAGTCAATTTCACGCTAATTTTTGACACTTTCAATTACGAATTATCATATTTCTAACCAAACTAGTAAACATTTGTCGTCAATCCAACAACAATTTTTCATCATTATCTTTCTCCCTTGTTTATGCTTCATTACCAAGCAAAAACCTATGAATCGAAACTATTTTCTGATACTATAGATAAAAAGGAAGTAAAATAATTTGTCTTGTTAGTATTTGTTAACTGAAAATATTAATATTTGTTCGCCCTTGCACAAACTTAAAAATTAGAAATAAGTCAGAAATAAGTCTGTCTCCGGCTTCTATATAAAATGTAGCTTCTCCATTTTTCAAAAATTTTAACGTGTTTCTTTGTCTTTGTGTAGTGTATTGTTATGTCCCAATTTACATTTATGACATTCTGCTTTTGTTGGATAGGCCACAACTGACGAAATGCCCCTGAGGATGATCTTGTGATCGAAAGTACTTGGGCAAGATTTAATCAACTACTGTGTTCGATATTTGCCTTGTATACCATCAAAGTTCAGTGATAATTGTTAATATTTAATAGTTGTTAGCTATTAAACGTACTTAATATAGTAGGACTAGAAATGTGTAGTGTCATCTGACTGCCTATAGCCAAACAGAATAACTTAACTCTAACCTATTTTCAGAATTACAATAATAATTACGAGTACAAGAGGAAGTCATCTGCCAGAGAAAGACCAACAATTTGTCCCATTTGTTTTGGTGATGTAACTACACATTTTACCAGACATTTGTTCAGACATCACTCTAATAATCAACAAGTTATTCAAATTAAAAACCTGCCGCCGAGAAGCATAGAACGATTGTCGATGGTGTCTGCTTTAAGAAAACAAGGGTACTTTCATTTGAAAACCGAAAAAAATTTAACAAATCCTGTAAGAACTTCCAGTAACCCCGAAACGGAATATTTTGCATGCATATATTGTCTAGGGCATTACTCAAAAACGCTTTTATATAAACATGTAAAAGTTTGCAAACAAAAACCAATCGGTGAAACAAATCCTGGGAAAAGATGTTTAACTAAAAGCCAAGATTTTTTGGTGTCGATGATTTCTAAAAATCAAGATTTTTTGAAAGCAGCACGGCTAAAAGAAGAAGTATTTACCATTATGAGAGCAGATAATATAAGTTTAGTTGCAAAAAGCGACACACTTATTTGTTTATATGGTGAACACCTTTTGAACAAACACAAAAGACAACAAATCTCTACACACATATCTAATAAAATGAGGGAAATGGGAAGACTTTTAATAGCTCTTAAAACTATCGATAAATCAATTGTGGGACTTTTTAGTGCAATGAAACCAGAATGTTTCCAAAATCTTATAACTGCAACTAAGGAAATAAGTTCCTATGATCCTGTGGAGAAGTGCTACAAAGCTCCGTCATTAGCATTACATATGGGTACCAATTTAAAAATAATGTGTAATGTTGCCCTAAAACTAGTAATTGAGAAGAAACAATTACCTAATATTACATGGGAAGATAGGAATAGAAAAAAAGAAGAAATAAAAGATCTTAGAAAATTAATTCAGGGTCATTGGTGTAGTGAAGTTTCAAGCATAGCTTTAAAGGTGTTAAATGAACGCCAATGGGAAAAACCTACAACTCTTCCATTAAGTGAAGACATACAAGCATTTCAAACTTACGTACATAGTTTGGCAAATGCTGCATATAATGAACTGTTAGATAACATCAACATTAACGTAAATTATAAGATATTAACAGAGTGCGTTTTAGCACTAACTGTTGCATTTAATAGAAAACGTATTGGCGACGTACAATATCTCAAAATATCCACTTACAACAGAATTCTCGATATTACAAATGAAAATGCTTTTCTTGAATCACTAACAACTGTTGAAAAAGTATTAAGTCAACGATTCAAAAGGGTAGTTACTGGAGGCAAGGGTTCTAAATGTATAGCAATTTTATTTTCTCCCCAAATTCAAAAATTCATAACATTAATGTTAAAAATTAGAGAGCAAGCAAATGTTGTACCCACTTCTAATCCATACATGTTTGCGAATCCTGGTTCGGCAAATAGATGGATGGCAGGATACCACGTAATTAGAAAATTAGCTGCAGCATGTGGTGCAAAACGCCCTACCCTCTTAACATCAACCAGATTTAGAAAACATATAGCGACAACTTTGCAGCTTATGACAATGGATGATAGCGAAATGGAACAAATTGCTACATTTATGGGACATACTAAGAAAACTCACTCTGAATTTTACAGGTATTTTTACTTATATTTCCTATGTCCTATTCCTATATATAAAATTTTCATAATTTTTTTAATACAGGCTACCACAAAATATATTTCAAACAGCCAAAGTTGCAAAGGTATTGATGTTACTGGAAAAAGGTAAAGGAAAAGAGTTTAAAGGAAAATCATTATCAGAACTTGAATTTGAAAACGATGTTTACATTAGTTCTGAATCAAATGACGAAGAAGATGTTTCTGGCTTGACAGATATTGCAGCAGAACCTTCAAAATTAGATGAAACTGGCGCTGAACAAGAGGAAAATGGTAAGTATTATTGTATGCTTTAGTTGAATATTATATTTCCCTTTCTTGCAGATGAATACCAGGAACCCTGTATTAAAAAGGGTCGAATCCGATGGAGTGCGCAAGAAAAAAATATTGTAAAGCTTCACTTCAAACATCATATTGAGGAAAAAATAACCCCTAAAAAAGAAGAATGCGAGTTATTCATTTCAAAAAATAACAAGATTTTCAAAAATAAGGACTGGGTTCGAATAAAAACATTAGTTTATAACACTTTTAGATTGAACACATAATAATGTATGTTTACCGATAGTTGAGAGATTTACGTTATTACTAATCTTTTCTTTTTTTATTAATAGAAAAATACTTTATTTGTAATTTTATAAGTTTTTAAAATTTAGTTTATAATAAAATATTTTAAAAAATATCCTGGCTCATTAATTACCACCTATCAATATTAGAATTCTAATGATAATGTATGATTTAGATGCACGTTGATTGTTGCCTCACAAATTGAAATGTTAGTTGTAATTGAAAATTATACATTAAAAAAATATTCTTATAGAAGTATAAAAAACAAATATAATTGCATTACAAATATAATTGTAATTTATTTAATTTTTATTTGTATAAAGAACACATTAAATAAAATTTAAATTTTTTTGCTAATATAATAGCTCTATTCCTAACTAGACATACAATTTTGACGGGACATAAGTACCGTAATAATCTCAAATTTAAATAAACACAGATACAGATATTAAAAATGTTAAATTGTAACTAAATAAATTCACTGCTGTTGAACCAGCAATACATTCTACCTGACAATTATTCCCTTTTTTAATAGTGAATGAGCTCCTCACAAGGACCAACGAAACGTTAGTTCTCAACTCTAGTTTAACATGATCAATACTTTTAAGCGGTTTATTATTTTGTGCAGAGCTTGTTTTTAATATGAGTAACGAAGTATGTAAAGTCTGACAGCGTCTAAGTGGGGCATTAAATCAAGGTAAAGTGTTAAAGTTAAATTAAAGTGAGTGGGCCATACGGTCATAGAAAACCCGAAAAAACTGGTAGTAATAGTAGCTGTTGTTGTTGTTTTAATTAGAAATTCACAATTATTAAAAATAATTATACCTGACCCACAGGGTAGGGTTTTTACCTCGCCAGAAAACCTAAACGCCTAAACTCAATTATTTTACCTCACCCTGTGTGCCTGGCATAATTTTTTTATTAATTGTAAATGCAAAAAAACAACGCTGATTAATTTTTATCTGGTTTCCTATGGTCCTATGGCCCCCTTACTTAAGTTAACTTTATCATTTCACCCACTTAGATCATAATCTAATTACTTGATTACTTATACTATAGAAAAGCTATGTTCAGATTTTTAACTTGATTCATTTAACCCGCACTTTTAGTCCTGCCTCACTGGTTAGAAGTAACAGCTTACGGCCCAAGTATTACAGGTTTGTGCTTATAGAATGCAAGGTGTTTTTAAAAAATTCCAATTTTCTTTCTTAATATTTTGACCAATATAATAATGTTGGTATTTCATATAATTTTGCATAAATTAAATTATAAATACCATATTAAAGAAGATAGGGGCAAGTTTTGATCTACAAAATTGCCTTTAAAAATCTCACGTTTATTTGATGACAAATAAATTACGAGTTCACGAAATTACATGTCCCCATTGTTGCCAAATGAGTGGGCTTCGCTTAATATGCCAAATACTTTGGCTCGCATCATTCGGAATTTATGTACACCTCTTATATATATAAAACAGCAGTGCCGCCTTACAGTTTTATCGTGAACTAAATCTGTATAACTTGAGATGTGTATAAGCCTATGAGAAGCCCTCAAAAAATTTTAAATGTCGATATATTTCAAAAAACCGAAGATGTGGTGTGACACGTCATAATGACGTATATTTAAGAGGGGTAGGGGAATGCACTGCTATCAGTTATGAGTTCATCAAGAGTACGGCTAAGCAGATATACACAGAAATCTTACGAAGCCCGACTTCGGGCTTCGTATGCACACTATGGGCTGCCTATATGCGGTGAAGTCTAGCGCAATTGGCTTCCTTATGGTGGTTTACACATCTATATATATATATATATATTATATATATATATATATATATATATATATATATATTTATATATATATATATATATATTATATATATATATATATTTATATATATATATATATATATATAATATATATATATATATATATATATATACATATATATATATATATACATATATATATATATATAATATATATATATATATATATATATACATATATATATATATATACATATATATATATATATATATATATATATATATATATATATATATATATATACGGTTTGTCCCACTTAGATATTTGATCAACTAATAAATACATTATAATTTCGGTAGTATTTTTGTAAAAATGCGAAATTATCAACCAAACTTTATACTTACTGTTGGGTTAGTAGTATCAATTGCATTGATATTTGCACTGTAGATTGCAGAAATTCAAAAAAAAAACACCATGGAATATGGTTGTTTCATTTTATCTACAAATCTAAAAGTAAGAACTATAAGTTAGTAACACATAAAAGAGAATGACCCAAATCCAAATTATTATTCAAACATATTAACTAATAATAGATTTTCGTTACTATCTAATGCTTCTGTAGTTTTCCTCCGCTACCTTCCAAAAATGTTAATGTACCTTCAGTGTGCAGTATCTCTAAACTTGTTTAGTTGTGAGTTGTGAGTTGTGTTCTGAAGTTCTGAATCTTTTAAAAAAAGAAAACTGAATGAGAGCGATCATATTGATAATGAAAGAGTTGAGAAAAGTACAGCCAGTTCGTCAATCTTAACAAATCCTTACAGGGATGAGTTCATGAGACTCTCTGATGTTTTAAATTGCAAGGACTATATAGACAATGATCAAAATTTAATTAAAAAAATATATTTCAAATCTATTGGAAAATTTATCCACATCCAATGGATCATAACAGCTCAAATAATTTAAATATAATTCAATGGAATAGTCGTTCTACTGTGTCTAATGCGGAATCTTTTAAACAATTTCTGTATTCGAATGCTACTGATATTGCAATTTTATCTGAAACATGTTATAAAACAAAACACAACATTGTTTATGAGGAATACCAAATTATTAGAAAAGATCGTCAAGATCGTAGATTTGGAGGCGTAGCTATATTTTTAGGCCTACGGGTAAATCAGTATAAGATATTGGATATTATAAATGTTGGAACATTGGAAATGTGTGCTGTAAAAATTGATTTTAATGGCAGAATAATTAACATAATCTCATTATATAAACCTGACAAGAATATAAGCACCGGAGAATGGGGACGGCTTTTTAATTGGTGTTCTTCACTCGAATGAGAGACGGTACTAGGAGGTGACTTCAACGCCCATCATGCGGTATGGAGTTCTCCAAAAAATGATACTAATACAAATAATTGATGCATTAACTGATATGGATTTAAAATTTCTAAATGATGGTTCGGCAACTAGAATTACCCCTTAAAACTCTACAAAATCAGCCGGAGACTTAACGCTAATAACTCCTGGACTAATTGAACTAGCACGTTGGCAAACATTGGATATGACTCTTGGATCTGATCATTATATTATTTTTATCAAGCTGAATATTGATGTACCCTCTTCTGTTATCTATCCAACAAGCAAATGGAAATTAGAGAAGGCCAACTGGGAATTGTTTCATAGCACTCTTGAAATGGAACAGAAGAATTTTGTATACTCTGAAAACTGTAGTAAAATGGCATTTAATCTGTATAGAGAAATTAATACAAGCAGCGAAGCTTCTATCCCCCAAAATGTTCCCTTCATTCCTAAACATAGACAAAAATCAATTTGGTGGGATGATGAATGTAATACACAGCTACAGCTTAAGAAGAATGCTCTTAAAAAATACAACACTGCATCTACACTGAATAACTTTCTTAAATATAAAAAGATATAAGCTACAACTAAAAAAAAGTTTAAACACAAAATTTAAACATGGATTAAATTTTGCTCCAGTCTTAAATCTAGTTGCCCATCTACTCAAATCTGAAACATGGCTAACAAATTAAACAACAAAAACGCAAACATAAGACATGCTCCTTCCGCAGTTGCAGAAGATATTCTTTAGAAGTTATGTCCACCATTTGTTGACAAACATATACCTTACATGGCTTTATATAAAGAACATTATTTATTAAAAGAAATAACATCTTCTAAACTGGAATATGCTATCAAGATATCCAAAAACACAGCTCCAGGTTCAGATCAGATTTCTTACATTATGTTACAAAAAATGGGTGTACTGGCTAAAAGACTACTACTACATATTTATAACTGTATTTTGCAAACTGGAATACCTCCTTACAAATTTAATGATTGCTTTGTTATATTAATTCTAAAACCAGGAAAAGACAAAGATAATCCGGAATCATATAGACCAGTAACATTATTGTCATGCATTTTTAAAACATTTGAAAGAATTCTAAAATTGAGAATGGAAATTTGGTTATGGCGGCATAATATTCTATCAGCAACACAATATGGATATAAACAAGGCTATGGAAACACGAATGCAGTAGTTCGTCTTACTACAGATGTTCAAATTGGTTTTCCTAATTTCATGACAACAGGTGCATTGTTTATTGACATAAAAAGTGCATATGACAATATTGATTTAAATATACTCTGTGATAAACTTGTGTTTCTTGGCATTCTAAAATCGATAGCACATTTATTATCAAATCTATACAAAGACAGAAGTGAGAGATGAGTACGTCACAATATTATTGGATCCAAGATAATATCAAAAGGTATTCCACAGGTTTTAAGTCCACTTCTTTTTAATTTGTACAATTTATGGGCTCCCAATATTGTTTGCTTACAATATGCTGATGATATTGTCATCTATTTACATAAGAAAACGTACAGTGAAAGCACTACTGAACTCAAACATGTTATGTACAACTTGGATAATTGGACTTGGTTAAATGGATTTAATATTTCGTACTAAAAATGTGCCGTAGTAGTTTTTTCAAGAAAACACCCCATTAAACATCACGCTGTAATCTTACGTGGCACTGATATTCCAATTGTTTCGGAATTTAGATATCTTGGTGTCGTACTTGACAAAAAATTGCTTTGGACTCAACATATTAATTATACAATTGGTCGCTGTGAAAAAGGTATTAATTTTCTTAAAATGGTGTGTAAGAGATCGTGGGGTGTAGATCAAAACATTGCATTGAATTTTT